GGATTTTTCAAACTCGGGCAAACCTTTCGCCGCACCCTGTACTTTGAATCGTGCGTAGGACGTGCATTGTCCGGAAAAACAAAATTTCAAATTTCCTGAAAAGTCATAACAACGAAATTCAAACACCGAAGAAATATTTTTTAGAATACAATTGTTCCGAGGTATATCATTGTCGGTGAGGACGAACTATTAGTTCGAAAACAGTACATACAGGTTTATTAATATCTATACATTTTTGTTGTATATAAACGAATAAATACTAATGCACTCGGCTGTACAAAAAGCAATTCCAATATTTCGGTAAAATTGGACTTCGGAAGATTGTTTCTATATTCGGATTTCAGTATAACGACTTTTCAGGGAAGATCATATCACATTTTAAATTTCGGTATATTATTTTTCAGAATAATGCATGTCCACCATTGTGCAAAATATGAAATTCCCATGGCCATGTACCGAATGTTTTCATTGTTGTTTTCGTTGCCGCAATTCACTGCCCCAATTTCCCCGTCATGTTCGATTTGTTTCGACGGCAGAATAAAAATGAGGTCATGCGTGACTGAATTTCTGCCACAGCAGGATCAATGGCTTACTTTTGTTTCGAGACAAAGTTACTGCGGAACGTTTCCTTCTTATCGATCTGTCTTTAAGATGATAAGATAAGTGGCGCGGCGAATTCACCCGCTAGTATGTGCGACGTACAATAATGTGCAGCAGTTTCCGCGCTGAAATTTTGTGCACTGCTGCTGTGGATACATTTGTACATATTATAGATGCTCTCGCGAGGTACGAGCGTAACGATAATATCGTGCATACGGAAGGTCTTTTTCCCGAGCCAAATGCTTCCTGCTATCTATCTTTTAACAGAGGGAGACGAACGGTCGACAAAGTAGTAGTAGGTTTGAACCTACCTATTAGTCAACGATAGAAATGTTAGCAATGGAACAAAGTATCTCTCGAACTTCAATGAATTGCAACAACTCCTGCTACGTGAGATGACTTTACGCGATGATGTCCCCTTTCAAAGTAGCGATTGAAACTCAAAATTCTTTTTATTTCTTAGCGATTAGTGGAAATCGAAGGGTTATCCTCCCTGATCATTCGAAAGACCGTAATAATTTTTCGCAAGTAATTTAATAGTAACCGAATTTTTGCATATTTCCTCTTTTATACGGTATTAACGATCTATGTACAAATACAATATTTCCTGCGAACGCTCCACATTCGCACTACGTAGACATGCTTGATCGTTCGTTCATGTTATTCCTCTAACGTCACTCGTAAAACCGATATGTACGAGGCTGCTGTCTTGATAACATTGAACATCGCTTGTCGATTAGCGCTGAAAAACTTTCCCCCACTGAGATGAAATGCGTAGCTTGACTTCATCATCGCAAAGCTCAAGTCCTTCATCAACGAGGTAGGAAGCGTGAACCAGGAAGTATGATACAATGCGTGGAATAATTCTTCGCTCTCGTTCTGTACGAAGTCACCACAATAGCAATATACCAGAGACTCCGTAAATACGTAGCTCAAGGCTAGAGAGCTTTTTGCTAATGTGACATATTCATGGTTCTTTATGCAGATTAATATCCGTAATCCTGAAACACGGAGATTTCTTATTCGAGTATTGAGACGAGAATGTGCAATCACTGGTCACTGTGCTTAGAAAAAAAGTAGTATATTGAAGTAAATAATTACTTCAATAGTTTTGAACAGATTTTTACTTGGATTAAATAAATATTACTTGAATTTAACACCTTTTGGTTATATTCAAGCAATATATTGATTTAATCCAAGTATAATTTATTTAAGTCGAGTAAAAATTTTACTTGGAACTATTTGAATAATTATTTGCTTGAATGTAGTATTTTTTTCAGTTTGTGATCATGAAAAGGTGAAGGTGTGAATATTTATCCAATTGCTTGAGTATCTCGCGGATCACATTAGAGATTCATCGATTATGTGATAAGTTTGAGACAAAATCTCCATCGTACCTAATAGCGCGAGCAAAAGAGTCACTATAAGGAGTTGATACAGTATGATCAAGTTGAACGTCTTTTCTAAGTTGTGATTGAGCTCCATTAACTCGCAGTGCCTGTCGATCAACTTGGCGAATTGCTTCCGATAATTTGCGACGGTGTCCGGCTTGCTCGCAAAATCTTTGATTCTTATTTTCAATATCTCGAGCTGACCGGTGAGGTGTAGCGTGACGTTGGTGTAGAAACAATCCATGATAGATTCCGATTCGGATATTAAGGTTATTTGAATACTTTGTATAACTATGAGCACGGCATAGAACGGCATGCTGGTGACTTTCTTACCCAAATCACCAGACGGTAGTACAAACGTCAAATCCGTTGTGTAACTGATGTTAACTGCACGTGAAATGCAGATCTTAAGAATAACAGTAACCATATTAATACATGACTTTAGTTAATAAATTCAAATAGAGTAAGAAGTGAAAAAGGAACAGTGTAAGAAATACAAAGCTAAATACAAAATTTGTATGAGAAACAAAAGGCGAGATAATTATTGGGTTGCCCGAAAAGTAATTGCCGATTGCTCCAATAGATGGCTTTAAGCGTCTGTTTGAATGTCTTTTGTCAATGT